TCAGTCGTCAAGAGATTGTGGTGGATCTACTTACGAAAAAGATTTTTCATTGCTTTCAGAGACGTTCGAATTTTGACAATTTTCGTGAAAGAAGTATCTTCACTCTTTTACCAGTTGTGTGACGTAAAATCATCTATCTGAAGGAAACGAACTCGAGACTGTAGAAAGTAGACCAAGCAACTCGGTCACGTGATTTTCTTTCACGAAGTTACAACACTTGAAAACCATCGACAATTTTTCAATTATGCTCCTCGCCGTGTCTGCGCGAAAACATCTTCGTTGTTTTCACGAATCGCGATTACCGCCGGTGAGATTCTTTCCAAATGTCCCTACGAAAGAAATCTCGAAAAGGAGAACCGAGCGCAGAGGATCCGAGAGACAGCCTTCTGATCGGGATTGACTTTTACTCGTTGCACAACGAAGCGTCTCGCAATACTGAACCGCGTATCCGCTTCACGAGTGTCAAAGTGTATGTACGCAGCGTCGATTAGCCTTCGATTTATAAAGAGATATTGGAGAGAAAAGAGGAATGCGAGAGGAATACGAAAAGATTCGTGCACGTATCGTAGAAGATACGGAATTTCGAAACTCGCTACCACACGCAGGAGGATTCGGCGGATGAATTTTCTCTGGTGTCATACACCTGTACGACCAGGACAGATAAATTCTCACTATTTTCTTTAAATTTGACTATTACTAAGCATATTTACTCTTCAGATAATAATCTTGAACGGATAAGTCTAAATAAAACGAAAACTGGTTTTGTCTTTTCTTAAAAATGATGCAGAATCTCTTGGTTTAATCAGCTTCTTAAGACTTTAAATTTGGAACACCTTGTACAATGATAAAATTCCAGCATTCATTCCAGCAAATTCGAGAAAATTACTTGATCTTTGTTTCAATCCGAAGTGCAGAAGATTGATGGGAATTTTGTCGCGTGCTCGTGGAAAAGCAGGAAGTGGAAATCGGAAGTCAGTATCAGAATGCTGATAATTCTCTCCAATAAGTCTATCTCTATTTCGAACGAGGAACAGTTAATTTACATCCTGTAAAAAAGCTATTTCCATTCGCGAGAAGCTCGTTACAAAAATAGTTACTTTCTGAAATTTTGAAATGTGAATTTAATT